AAGATCTTAATATTTTAATGAATGTAAAATATAACTCAATTTTAACAAATAAATCTTCCTGCAATGAGTGCTCTGGGGGCTGGAGGGGAGTGGGAAAAATAAAAAACAAATGCCTTCACTGCAGGATCTCTCGGAGCCTTGAACATGCTTCTGTGCACTGTAAATATCTAAGAGAGGCTACAGGATGCTGTATGTTCCAGATTCAATTGCTCAAGGAACTTTATGTTTTTCTTACATATATTAACATCTCTAAGGCACTAATGTTTCAGAACCCAGTAACTTTAGTCTGGAAAAATTCAAACAGAGGCTATAAATACCACTACAGTCTCTGAAAAAATAAAATCAACATCATTTTTTAGTGAATCCCCCAGAATAAACTAGTTGCAAAACGTACCGTTAAAGAAAGTCCAATTAAGTACTGGAGTAATTCCGTCCAAAATAATAAATTTCATTTTGGAGCTGTTGACCTCAAATTCCTTCTCGCAATTATTAGACAGTAAAGCCAGTCGTCTATCAAACAATTCCAAGTTTGTGTCAAGAAAGCATGCAACGATATAGACAATACTTCTCTCTCTGTTCTCTGTAAGCCTTGCAACTGATCCAGAGGTGGCATCAAGTCATTGAAACACAAGTTTAAAAATAGAAGTCTTAGGTTGGGTTCCCTGGGAACCCTTGTGTACCCATTTATTGTGGAAAGCTCCAGACCAACACCTATCAGGAAACACAACTAGGCAGGGGGAGGAGTGTAACTGTGATGCAACCACAACAAAGGTGGGGAGCTCTGGAACCAGGGCAGCCCTTAAGTGTTGTCCAGCCTTGAGGCAACGGGGCCAGACTTTTATGTCTTCACAACAGACCTATCACTGTATTCTGGCTGCCCTAGGAAAGGGGCACGATGGCCTCTTTGAGGGTAATTTCCACAGGGAGGATCAGCTGAGAGCCATCAGCTACCAACACTTCCAGCAGCAGAGAGAGTGAGTGCCTCAGCCTTGAAGGGGGAGAGGCTCCACACACCAGTGTCCACTACAGCAGCCAATACACACCCCTTTCACCAGGCTCAAAGGGGTGTCTGATCTGCAAGAAACCCTCCAGACCAAATCTAATTCTCAGGCTATTAATAGACGAGCTCTGTTTAAGTACCAGGAGTCAAGGACTGAGATTTTACCCATATTGCTTTGTCCTTGACAAGCATTCACAAAACCGCAATAGAAACTGCAAATAATCTTATATGGTTACTAAAAAAATTCTCTCACAATATAAACTATACACCAAGAAACTCATATGACTAGCTTTGCCATGACTGGAAACCTAGATGTTCTTCAGGAAGAATAATGGCCTGAGAACATCAGATATCTTCAAGAACTAAAACACAACAATCAGTAAAACAAGATTTAGCATCAAAAAGCTTTAGAATCACCTTCCAACACTGAAGGGTTTTTTTTTTTTCATATTTTCCTTTCCTTTTCTTTTTTTTTCACTTTTTTAAATGGAAGTATAGTTGATTTACAATGTTGTGTTGGTTTCTGGTGTAGAGTGAAGTGATTCAGTTAAATATATACATTCTTTTTCATAGTCTTTTCCATTATGGTTTATTACAAGATATTGAATATAGTTCCTTATGCTATACAGTAGGAACCTGTTGTTTCCTTTGCCTTTTTAAAAAAAATGAAGTTTAGTATCCCATTGGACAAAATAATTAAAAAACATTTAGAGGAGTCTCCCTGAGTCTGCTTTTTAATATATGCTAACAATCAATTCATATATTCCTTCAAAATGCATCTACCAGGGCTTCCCTGGTGGCGCAGTGGTTGAGAGTCCGCCTGCCGATGCAGGGGACACGGGTTCGTGCCCCGGTCCGGGAAGATCCCACATGCCGCGGGGCGGCTGGGCCTGTGAGCCACGGCCGCTGAGCCTGCGCGACCGGAGCCTGTGCTCCTCAACGGGAGAGGCCACAACTGTGAGAGGCCCACGTACCACAAAAAAAAAAAAAAATGCATCTACCAAGGACATCCCATTAAAGGACATCATGCTTGGTATTGAGGGTATAGAGATGAATAAGAAGTTCACCATCTAATAAAGATGACAGACATATAAACAGGTAATTATAAATCATTCATTCATTCAAACATACCTATAGGCACCATACCTTGAACAACAAAAACAGTCTTTGCCCTCATGGGGCTTACATACAGTGTGAGAAGTGTTCACATAGAAGACTGCAGAAGGTCCTATAGCCTCTGCCTACACAGGGAAGGAGTGCCACAGAAAGCTTTCTAACAGTAAGCTCAACAACAATAACAATTAACCTTTCCTGAGGGTGTAAAAGGTGCCAAGCATATACGTAAGTTTATTTAACCCTCAAATCAATCCTCTGAGGTATTATTATTATTCCCTATTTACAGGTGAGGAAATCACAGCACAGAGAGGTTAAGCAGCTTAATCAAGGTCACACAGGTGGTAAGTGGTGGCCTGGGACTCTCAGAGGACGTAACACTGGAACTGAGCCTTGAAAGCTGAGTAGGAATCTGTCAAATGGACACAAAAAGGGGAGTGGTGAGAGTATTCCAGACACAGGAAACTGCAAGTACCAATGCTTAAAAATCATCAGAAACCGGCAAGTTCATCTGCATGTAGGCTGCTGGTGTGAGAGTTACAGGAGTCCAGACCTGAAAAGGGGGAGCAGTGGGCTTGGGCAAAGACAGAATCCATGTGCCCTACAGAGACTGAAGGAATGCAAGCACAAACTGCAGGGGGTTTTAGTAATATCAATCAGAATATTCATAAGAATTAAAATGGCTAACATTCTTCAAGAGCAGCCAGACATGGGCTACATATTTCTACATGTTATCGCATTTCAGCTTCATTACAATCAAAGGGAGCAACTAGATTGTCTGGGATTCTGCTGCTTATGAGTTACAGAGCTGTGGTTCAAAACTAGGGAACTCTAACCCCAAAGCCTGTGCTCTCTCAGCTGCTGAGTCTACAATAAGTGGCAATCACCCCTTACCCTCACCCACCCAACCCCTACTCAGGAAGCAGAGGGGCAGTGAGGAGGGAACTCATGCTCCAGCCCAGGAGACAACGACGCAGCCGCCTTTAACCAAAGAAGTGAGAGCTGGGGGCTGGAGAAGAGATTTGAGAAATACGTACACAGAGGCGGCACTGGAGACTTCTTAAGGTCGGGCCGTGTGAACGAGGGAATAGATGTGGAAAGAGATGGTGAATCCTTTACCAAGTGAACGGGTGGAAATAAGCACTGAGAGGTGGGCAGTGGGATGGGAGGAAAAAAAAAAAAGATGCTAAGGTCAAGGTCTCCCTAGGCTAGAGATAGAAGGGCCTGCTGGGCAGCTAGATATTTAGGTTGGGAGCTGAGGAAAATAATCCACTGTGAAGGTACAGATTTGGCCAGAAACATGTTGAAGGCATGGGAGGAGGTTAATTTGTCTAGGGAAAATGTAAAGAATAAGAAGATGGACAGAAACCCAGAAAACATCAACTATTCAGGAAAGAATCCATGTTCCCACCTGTAAAAATAAGGATACACACACACACACACACACAGCCCCTGACATATCTGCCTTCTTTACAAATCTGAGAAGGAGCTTTCTTAGAAGTAAAGATGGTTGTTCTTTAGTGTTACCTCTGGAGAAACCAACTTATTCTCTTCCACATGTGAGGTATTGAATTACTTCTAGGGGGCATATTTCTGCCGGGGGGGAAAATAAGGTAGTTGAATGACGTATGTATTTAATAATAAACAGTACTGATAGTTTATCAGCGTTATCACCAAACATCTGCTCGGCCACTCTGAGCCCAAGTCACCGATGTCAGTAATTCCACTTCAGGCACAAGCTCGGTGGGCTCTGCGTGGAAGCACCGATGCTCCTAGGATATACCGTTCTCTGGCTTTATTTACGTTCTCTCTTCACGCTTCACCCTAAAAAACGTCACAGTGGGGCTTACCTGCCTTAGGAACCTGTACAAAGGGCGATTTCTCCCGTTTCTCTCTTTTATTAAAAACAATGGAAAACTTCCCACTGTTAATATGTAGCAAAAAGAGGGAAGAAAAATAAATAAATAAAGCCCGTCTGGTCCGCCCTCCCTGGCTGTTGCTACCTTGCAGTTTATGACACACAAAGAGAGGGAGGGCTGCCGGAGTGAACGAGGCGGCCAGGCAGCAAGTCCATTCCCGGGGAAACCACGAGTGCCCGAGTGCAGGCGCCTCTGCCTACTTTGTGCCCTGCGATGTCTTCTGTGCGACTTTGAGAGGGGCTGGGGACGATGTCTCACCGCGCGCCCGGCCCAGGAGAGCCCCGCGGGAGGGAGGGAGGGAGGGACCCAGCCAGGCGGGGGCAGAGGGAGCCGCCGCGGACCTTGCAGCGCTGGAACTGGCTCGACTCTCCCAGGCAGTTTTTGAAGTCAGCAAAACAGAAATCGAATTACTATGACGCTGGTGGACGACGCTCAGGGAAAAAGGGGCTTTCTGCCGGCTTAATCACCATGAGAGATGCAGCGAGTCACAAAACAGCCAAGTGTGTCTACCGTGTGGACCCTGAAGACCGACCCATGTAAGTCAGGCTGCTGTATTTTATTGCTGTATAATTTTCTTTCTGGCTTGAAAGGCTGCTTAGCCGAAATGTAATCGTTTCAGTGAGAATCTCTAGAGTGGAAAGTTGTCTGCTGATCTTTGCTGAAGACTTTTTCTTTCTTTGATTAACTAAGCCACATGATACAAGCTGACATTCCTGCCGGCAGCCGTGGCGATTCAGCCTAAGACTGACGGAGACCTATAACCCAAAGTACATCCAGTTACTATGGAATTAACCCTGGCTGTATTTTTAATTGACTGTCAGCGTAGTGTGCCTACAGCCCCACTGTTTTGGATTGCTTGCTATTTTAACGCTGCTGTGGCTCAACTAGTATTATCAGCGTAACCAACTGAATGAGACAGAGCTAAGAGAGATTCCCGGTAGTTACAAAACTTTTCTTTCTTGGCCAGGATCACATTTTTCTCCCTGACTGCTAAAAACTCAGCAACCTCTATGTTAAAAGTTCATTCTGCTTTTTTGCCCTTGCCTTGGAGAAAAAAATCAAATCAGACAAAGGATTCTCCTGAAATTGTGAAGGAAGGAAGTATAAGGAAGCCACCGCAGTTCTTTAACTACTATTGTAATAATGGGAGAAAAAAAGCCAACCAAAGAAGCCCAGCACGTACGCCAGCCTGTGACAGAGCATGGGGACGTAAAGCTGAATGGTGAGCAGAGCCTGTAACTCGGTTTTTCGGCACTTCATATGCTACGAGTTCCAGCTTAGACATGGATATTCTCTGTGAAGAAAACACTTCTCTGAGCTCAACTACAAACTCCTTAATGCAATTAAATGATGACACAAGGCTCTACATCGACTTTAACTCCGGAGAAGCTAACACTTCGGATGCGTTTAACTGGACAGTGGACTCAGAAAATCGAACCAACCTTTCCTGTGAGGGCTGCCTGTCACCACCCTGCTTCTCCTTACTTCATCTCCAGGAAAAGAACTGGTCTGCTTTGTTGACAACTGTAGTGATTATTCTAACCATTGCTGGAAACATACTCGTCATCATGGCAGTGTCTCTAGAGAAAAAGCTGCAGAATGCCACCAACTATTTCCTGATGTCACTTGCCATAGCTGATATGCTGCTGGGTTTCCTTGTCATGCCCGTGTCCACATTAACCATCCTTTATGGTGAGTGGCGTTGGTTTCCCAGCTGTACCCACACTGGTAACAAAGCATGTGCATGTCATTAGCAGATGAGTCAGGGCTCACGGGACAAACTAAGCGCAGGGCTTTGTTTATACAGGAGGGTCTACCATGTTATACTGCTTAACTTTTACTTTTAAAATGAAACCTCACATTTTAAGAAATAAGACAACCTGTTATGTGTGATCACTAGAGAGTTGTGCTTTGAAACATGTATATTTTATGCAGGGAGATGAGGTGTTGTGCTGAAAAACATGTACATTTTATGTAGAATTATAAAGGTCCCAATACAGTCATGAAGCAATGACATCTGTCGTTCTGGATCCACTTGGTTTTCGCTCCTTTATATTCTCAACCAAATATTCCAGCCCTCCAGACAGGACAGTTTTATCTTTGTCACACTGTTTTCAGCACTTCTAATGAAGGGGTAAAACTTTCCCAATTACCTTGCAACATTTGCAGAGAGAATATTAGTTGTGCAGTGGGTTTACTGTTAAAATATGGAGTCTCCATTAGAATAAGTGAATTACACCAGTTTTAAATTGTTCCCTGCCCAGAGAAGCTAATTTGGAAGTGTGCCTTTGAATTAGAACCTCAACTCTTTAAAAATGCATAGGCATGAACTCCTCCCGTCTGGTTTGGAGGAGGGTGGGAAACACATGGGAAGAGATTAATCTTGCTTTCTTCTCAATAGAGTTTGAGAGAGTCAGACCTCTCAGCAAGTAGGCAAACACTGGGATGGCTTCAGCAGAAAGCAGAATGTGATATTCTTTACAAATTATGAGTAATACAGCTAGATTTCTCTCTTTAAAAGGGGGCAGAGAATCTTCAGACTGCTGATACAGGCACACCGGCAGTCACCCAGGGCTGGAACCAAGTTATGAACGCTGTCTTTTAGAAGGGATGTTCTGGCCAAGTCTTAAGGGTTAAGAAAAAAACAAAAAAATCAACCCAGCCCCAAAGAATATGGAGGAGGAAGGAGGTGAGCAATGGAGCGCAGGGGCGCCGGTTTACCCAAGGTCGATATTTGCAAGGCCAGCCTCCGCTTGACCACTCACAATGTCACACCAGGATGATTTGATTAAATTCGCCTGTCATTTCTCAGACATCCTGGACAGGTTCCCGCTTCCTAAAACCCCGCTGCGTTGAAGGCAAACTCCAGGAGCGGGAGATGACTCTCAGAGGGCCTGTCCGGGAACAAAAAGCCCGGTGAGGGGTGGGCGGGGGGACCTCCGAGCGGCAGGTGGACTCCCGAGCTGCCCGTGGGGACGAGCAACGGCCTGCCGGGTTAGGAAGCCGACATCTGCCCGGAGCCTCCGGCTCGGGGTGCAACGGCGCCCCCTGGCGGCCACCACTGCGCACAGCTGGTTCCTGCCCAGCGATGCCTGGGCAGGCATCTGAACTGTCCCTGAACTGGTCCTCCGGACACCGCTGGGTGGGTGAGGAAATGCCCCCTCCTTATCCCCACCACGGAAACCCAAACTACGGCCCGCGGCTGCCTCCTTGCAGAGAAAACTCCTCCCAGGGTCAACATCAGTTCCGACCAGGCAAAGCATGGCTTCCCCCCAGGCACTGCTAAGAAAAGTTCTCCCCTTTTAGCTCAAGCTCTCTGCAAATGGCGTGAAAGGCACCAAGTCCGACTTGTATCCTGCACCCTTTACTTTTCTAAACATCGGTGGTGGCATTTCGGTAGAGAGTATGTTTGTGACTAGAGAGTTCGTTCAGCTCTGTGGGTCCAGGATGCCGTGAAAGAAAGGTGGTCTTCATAATTTTCCTTCTCACATGTGCACAGATTTAACACCATTGCTTATATTGTCATCAAAACTAATTAAGGTTTATATAACCGTTTGATCTCCCTCTAAAACAAACAAACAGGAGACTGTGTGCCCGTAAGGCATACCCTGCCTTCCTAGTGCAACAGGTGACTTCCTGCAGTGCATCTCACAGGGGAATCCTCTGGGTAGCTTTAAATCACTTTAATGTTGGGGGCGCCCTCCACCCACCCTGCTGGGTATCAGGACCTACAGAAAAGCTGTCCAGCTGATTCTAATGTGCAGCCCGGTGAGAACCACTGCCCTAGGCAGCAGTTACCCAAGTGTAACTGTGTAGCTGTAACAAGTGTAGCTGCTGGACCCGCAGCGTCAGTACCAGATGGGCAATTGTTAGAGATGCAAATCCCCCTGCGTCACTGCACACTTTCAGAATCAGAACCCCTGGAGATGGGGTCCAGCAGTCCCATTCTAAGAAACCACCTCGGAGATTCGGAGGCTTGTTAAAGTTTGAGCACCACTGCCCTGAAACAGTTCTCAGGACAAGAATACCATGCTTTTCTTTACCACTGTCTTCATTTTCACCCCACACACCCCAAGTTTGAGTTTAACCCCCAAAGTATTATTAGGTAATAATTTTTCATTTTCACAAAGAAATTCCCAATCTGGCTTTTTAATCATTTCTTCATTCACACCAGTAGCATTTTTGAGAGACCACTAAATGCCATCACTGTGCAAGACTGAGCAGTTGTAATAATGGCTGAGAGATGGCCTAACCTCAGGGAACGTACAATCTGTGAAAGATATGTGAATAAATAATGACAGTACACTGCAAGAGGTGCTTCAGTAGAGGAACCCATAGTACCTCATAGCTCCTGACCTAAGTCATCAAAAACAAAAAGGAGGTAGATTTTGTCAGGCAGAGGAGACAGAACGAGAGAAACCCCAGGGAGACACACCCTGAGTTTACAACACACCAGCATGATTCCAGCCACAAGAAATTTTCAAACCTTGTATTCAGCCAGTGCAATCTTATTGTAGTTAAGTACAGTTGCCATCAGGCTGTTTTGAAATATTGAAAATATTAATATCTCGTGTTGCCCTTTGCTGTTACCTGTGCCTTTTCCCAGCATGGAAACTGTTCAAGCAGGGTAAATTCCACACACCAGAGAGGTCAAGGTCGCTAACTGACGCTAACCTTCTGCATCTTAGGGTACCGGTGGCCTCTACCTAGCAAGCTCTGTGCCATCTGGATTTACCTGGATGTTCTCTTCTCCACGGCCTCCATCATGCACCTGTGCGCCATCTCCCTGGATCGCTATGTTGCCATCCAGAACCCCATCCATCACAGCCGATTCAACTCCAGAACTAAGGCATTTCTGAAAATAATTGCTGTTTGGACTATATCAGTAGGTAAGTAGGAACGGTATTTTGGAATCTCATTTGCAATGACAGTTCATGCCTTCTAAATAGACCTGTCCTGTTTTGTTGCACTGAACCCTGACATCCTGAATGTACTGTTTTGCTTGTTGCAAGACATGTTATAGTAATTATTAGATTTGCTTTAGGAAAGAAAAATCTGTTAATGTCACTGGCTGACAACATAAATTTGTATTTTTTTGCACAGGTAAAAACATATACACCAATAGAGCCAAACGTGAGAATAACTGTGCCATGGCCACCTCCAAAAACTTTCCCCATCTCACACTTTCAAATTCATTCAAGTTTCTAAATTCCTAAATCTTGAGTTTACTAGAGGCCTCAATGTTTATAATCACGAGACTTGTGGTCAGTCTAAGAATACAGAGCCCCATACTGGAGAATACACAGCTTCTGGGGGATAGAGAAGGTACCAAGTGCCATAACTCAGAGGGAGAAAGAAAGTGAGCACAGAGGATGGTGGCAGAAGTACCCAGCACTTCTGTAACCTTCCTCCTCCTCTTATGATAAAACATGCCAGAGGATTTCAACCCACTTCACTCAGGTTGATTACACACCTTCACCTGTTGATCTCCTCTCACACACCTAACAGCCAGGAAAGCCCAGGTAGTGGAAGCTAAAGGGACAGCTCCCAGGCAGCTAAGTCAATTGCACCTGTCCCCTAAGCAGGCTTGGTTCATGACCAAAAATTCCCTGGGATTTGTTTTAAAGTTGCCAAGTGGGAACGATGTGCCTGCTTACGGCCACATGGGTGCCAGTATCTACTAACGTGAGAAACTATGGGATTTGGTGGCAGGCTTGACATCCAGGACTCCAAACCCTGCTTGCACTGCTAAACTTAATAAGTTCCTTCCTGGGAAACAGATGTCGCTCCCAAAATATGCTTGGAGTTGCTGGGCCTGTGCAATCTTGGACTCATCCTACTAGGATCAAGAGAATGAAGGACTAGTGGTTCTCAATCCCAGCTGCACATAAAAGCCCTGGGGAGGGTTCTGATTTCATTGGTCCATGGCAGGGCCTGGTGACTGAGGTGCAGCCAGGGTTGAGGACTGAGATAGACAGTTGCTGAGGGAAATGCAATCAGAGGGGCAAGAATAACGTGAATGAAGCGAGCCAAGCTATTGTCAAATTTACGTAGCTTTACCCCTGGACACTGTCCCATTGGTGAGACAGACGCTGGGAGAGTCACCCAATCTTTTACCCTCAGCCGCATGCCACCCCTTTCCCTGCCTTAGTCAAGCTTAATAAGAGCAGTAGTAGTAAGGGCTGTTTCTGAGCAACGACCAGAGACGCAGTCATCTTCAAAGCACCTTATGGAGAATAAGCTGCAGAGAAGTAAGTTGCACAGGATGACACAGCTCATAACCAGGAATCACCCTGGGTCAATCCTATTTGAAAGCCTTACACCCTTACTACTGCCCAGTAAGACAGTCTGCTTCCTCTCCTTCCAGCCATCACCCCAGGAGGCAGGCAGGCTAGAATGAATAGTTGTGGGGTGATGCTCAGGGGTCATGATCCATTTGGCCAAACTTTTACTGCGTAACTACTATGTGCTTGGCACTGAATATACTAAGGTACGCATTCAGAGATCTCTGACCATGTGGTCGGGGAAGGCAGATAAGAAAACATAAGAAACGCTGAAGTTACGTAGGCTGTATACCACAAGTCTGTGAGATGTGTGTCTGAGGAGTTGGTAAAGGTAAAATAATAATGTCTGTTCTAGTGAAGGGACTTAGCATAGACAGCCTCCCGAATCATTTTTCTAGTGTTTCTATTTCCATTGTTGTTTTTTTGTTGTTGTACATTTAAATCCTTAGGCTAGAATTTTTGTATATGGTCTAACATGTTTTCTTCTACCAATTATTAGAGCCTTTTCAGTATCTATTGGTATGAGTTTTTCCCCTTCAATTTCCTGATGTATTTCGTTTTCTTTGTAGATTTTAATATTAAACTGCCCTTGCATGCCTGGAATGTATTCACGAATGAAATTGGATTTCTATGACTTTGTTAGTTGGTTTATTATTCTTATAAGGTTTCTTTCTGTAGCCTTATTAAATTTGGGAGGGTTCTGATTTTCCCCTAAGGTCTTGAAATATTTAGTAGGAATGTACTTTAAAGGTTATATAGAATTTAGTTCAAATCTTTCTTGTCCTGGTGCCTTTTCAAATGGTGTCTTTAATTATATCATAAACCACTTCAAAATTTTTCACTTACATTTTCTACATTGTATGCAGCTAATGACCCCAAACAAAGTTTAAGTTATCTTTTGTATTGATTCTTTTATCATTATTAAATGTAATGCTATTTGTTTTAAACTCTGCTTCATCCGATATTAGAGCTATGCCAGTTTGTTTATGTTGTCATTTTCTGGATATATCCTATTCCATCCTATATACTGTCAAACTCCTTTCTGACTTAATATTAAGTACCTTGTTTGTAAGAAGCATATAAAGTTGTTTTGTTTTTATCTAGTCAATCTTTTTTGGTTTAAATTTTTTTTTGAAGATTGCCATTTTTTAAATAAATTTATTTTTGGCTTTGTTGGGTGTTTGTTGCTGTGCGCGGGCTTTTTCTAGTTGTGGCGAGCAGGGGCTGCTCTTAATTGTGGTGCGTGGGTTTCGCATTACGCTGGCTTCTCTTGTGCAGAGCATAGACCCTAGGCACGAGAGCTTCAGTAGTTGTGGCTCACAGGCTCCAGAGCCCAGGCTCAGTAGTTGTGGTGCATGGGCTTAGTTGCTCCATGGCATGTGGCATCTTCCTGGACCAGGGCTCGAACCTGTGTCCTCTGAATTGGCAGGGGGATTCTTAACCACTGTGCCACCAGGGAAGCCCCTTATCTCTCCTTAACTGATGCAAAAACCTTAGAATATTTAACTCAATATTGTTATTTTTATAACAAAAAACCTTTATCACATTTTTATTTTGCCTTCACTTTACGCATATTTTTGTTCAGTATAGAATTCAAATTTGGCAGTTATCTTTTTTCAGCAATTTATGGGTAACATTTTAAAGTTCTAGCTTATATTGCTTCTTTGCGAGAACTCTGCCGTCAGACTTACTGTTGTTCCTTAGAACAGGGGGGGTCCCCAACACCCAGGCCATAGACCAGTACCGGTCTGCAGCCTGTGAGGAACCGAGCCACACAGCAGGAGGTGAGCAGTGGGCGGCGAGCGAGCGAAGCTTCATCTGCCGCTCCCTATTGTTCTCATTATCGCCTGAACCATCCCCCCGCCCCTTCCCCCTGTCCGTGGAAAAACTGTCTTCCACGAAACTGGTCCCTGGTGCCAAAATGTTTGGGGACCACTGCCTGAGAAACTACTGTCTCTTACCACCCTCTGCTGCTTTGGGATTTTTTTCTTTGTATTTTTTAGCGATTTTACTATGATGTGCCTAGATGTGGGTTAGTTCTGGTCTTAACCTACGTGGTGTTTGTACTGATTCTTAAGTTTGTAGCTCAACTGGGGAGAACTCTTGACCCTTATCTTTTCAAATATTGCTTCTGCCCCATTCTCCCTTCCCCCACCCACTTCTTAAGACTCCAATTTCTTGTATGGTAGAACTTTTACCCATGTTTATGACTCTTAAATGCTTTTCTACATTTTTCACCTTTTTTCAATTCTTACTTGAGTCTGGATAATTTTACTGACTTTTCTTCTCCTGGGTTATTAATCCTCTCACCAGCTATTTCTAATTTGCTATTTAAACCTATATAGTTTTATTTTTAATTTGGTACTGCATGTTTAGTTTTAGAATTGCCACTTGATTCTTTTTATAGATTCTGGTTCTCTGGAATAACTCTCCATGTTTTCATCTATTTTCTTAAATACTAATCACAGGTATCTGGGGATCTGAGTAACCTGGGAATTTCTATTTTCTGGGGTCTTTTTCTGCTTGGTTCTGTCAGCTGGTAAGCCTGGTAATTTTATTAAACACTAACAATGGGGGAGAAAAATGTGGATACTCCACTAATGTTCTCATTCTTCAGACAGGGGTCCTTTAACTTTAGCAGGCAGTTAGAATAGGTCCCCTAAATCCAATCAGGGATTAAGCTAGGTTTAGGCTGAGTTTTTGTAACCACTGGTCTGTTTTCAGTTTGCCCTTACACGTGGGATATATTCCTGCATGAGCTCAGATGGAGGACCAAGGTGTTCTCCATTTTGAAGAGCCCTCAACTCCAGTTTTTGTCTCCTCAGCACTATAAGGCTGCTGCTAACTCTTTTTAAACATTTTTTCATTGGGAGTATAGTTGATTTACAATGTCATGTTAGTTTCTGCTGTACAGCAAAGTGAATCAGGGGCTTCCCTGGTGGCACAGTGGTTAAGAATCCGCCTGCCAATGCAGGGGACACTGGTTCGAGCCCTGGTCCGGGAAGATGCCACATGCCGCGGAGCAAATAAGCCCGTGTGCCACAACTACTGAGCCCGTGTGCCACAATTACTGAAGCCCACACACCTAGAGCCCGTGCTCCGCAACGAGAAGCCCCCACAAGGAGAAGCCCGTGCACCGCAACGAAGAGTAGGCCCCACTCGCCACAACTAGAGAAAGCCCGCACACAGCAAAGACCCAACACAGGCAAAAATAAATAAATTAAAAAGTCAGTCAGTTATCCATATCCACTCTTTTTTAGATTCTTTACCCATATAGGTCATTACAGAGAATTGAGTAGACTTCCCTTCTCTAGAGTGGTGTGTATATGTCTCTAACTCAACCTCTCCATCTGTTCTTCTAACAAGTTGGTAAACACCTTAAAGGGAAAGGAGGCTCATACTGTTACCTTTTTTCCTCTTCCCTTCACTCCAGAATCCTAACCCCTGAAATCCTGAAATCCTGACTGCTTGGACAGCCCTAACTCCAATTTTTGATCTCCCAATCCCCGCTGAGACACAGTTTGGGGCCTTGAATTTTGCTTTATTTGACACTAGTATTCCATACGTCCTCCTCCTTGTTTGAATCTTTCCAGCCTATCTTTTCT